TCCACACTTTCCCAAGCCATGCCTCAGCGGCTTTGCACCCTGGTCTCTGCAGAGACCAGTGCACCAAGCGCAGGGAGCCTGAGCAACCTCCTCAGGAGGCCTCCAGAGCAGCTGCCTTTGAGCCAGAGGCCTCTGGGGCTTATTAAAAGCACTGAACGCCTTCTGGGAGGCTGCAGGAGCAGCCCAGCTCCACTCCAACCTTGATAATTGCATTTTGCTTCCCAAAAGCCTCCCAGGTTGCCCAGCTGCCATGGTCCTCACTCCTGAGCTGCTGCTACGCTCGGTCCCCAGGTAGCATTCAACTGCTGTCACATTGCAGCAGGTCACTGCATTTGTACTGGGGTGAGTAACCCAGCTCTGAAAAGCTCTGGGGGGAAAGGCACTACATCCCACGCTGCTTACAGCAGAGTACAAGTCTCTATGAGGGTGTAGTCGGGTTCATTAAAATTAATTAACAGTCAAATGGCTCCATACACCACTTCATGCAGACACAGCAGTGACTGCAAAATGGATCTTAACATGAGCCCAGGCCCCAGGGAAGTGAGTGCTGCTGTGGGGAAACCACGGGAGACCACCGCCAAGGCAGAAGGAGCGCCTTCTGAAACTGTGGTCACTGAGCTTCCACTCAGTTTTCCTAGTTTGTCTTTTGTCACTCTTCGTACAACTTCAACAGAATGAGAAACTGAGGTATCAAGTGTTTTACTTGTCCTGTTTTTAGCTATAAGTGCAAGTTATGACCTAATAACTTTTAAACGTGGCATCTACATGAATTATAATTTAATACATGCTAAAATTGACTCAGAGTTGCGCATGAACTGTCTTGGCCATAAGTACCAAGATCTGCATTAAAAATGTTTTGGAGTACAGTACACATTAATTTTTACTGATCCACCACTGCAATTTCTGCTATATTTTGTGTTGTAAACCTTCTGCACTTTTCTATCCTTCTGTTTTGCTCTTTTACTCTTTCCTTTTTCTTTGTAGTAAAAGAAAATTCTCATCTCAGAAAGGCTACATTCTTCCTTCTCCCCATTCTAATGACTTTTCACTTTAATATCTGCTATTTTGAAAATTACTTCATCTAACATAACAGCCTTGCCTGAATCTCAGTGTGCTTTGCCACCCATAGCTCTCATCCTACAACTATTTATGCTTGCGCATAATCTGGAGTATGAAAAGAAGTGTCATCAGCTTCAGTGAAATGACCCACGTACCTCAAGTTAAGTACCTGTGTAAAACTTTCAAGCAGTCCTAAATCGCTGGGCAAGGTAGTACTGCAGCTGTTTTGCTGAAATACAGCCTCAGCTGGTTGGACCTGGTACCTGCTACACAGCCGCAGGACAGCTCGGTTGATACCGACAGCAAGAGAAGAGCTCGATGTTGAGATGAAACTGTCTGGGGAACTTTAGCAACAAAGATGCAGTTGCCCAAGCTGGAATTCACCAAGATGGCAAGGGACTTCCCTCTCACTCCTCCTTTCAATCAGGGCTATGAAATCAGGACTCTGGCTCTACAACTGAACACAATGCAGATTTGAGAGGGAATCGAGTTAAAGCCCCGTGATGTTTTTTTTTTTTTTTTCTACAAGGCAGCACATGGCTGTTGCGTGGGGTTTTTTTGTTTTGTTTTGTTTCTTTTTAAAAAGTCACCTTACCAATTCTGATCCAGCCTGATCACACATGATCTTCTATTATCAAATCACATCCAGAGGTGAGGATGGCATTGTAGATACACAGAAAAGACTCAACATACAAATACATAATCATATATTGCCTTAAAGCCTTTATTTTAATGTAAAATAAAACAGGTAAAATTTATATAGCCATATGTAACAAAAGATCAAAATCTTTAATGTGGTACTAGAAAAACCCTCTCAAATTGTGTGCTGAATTTCTCCCCCGAAACAATCACGCATGATTTTGAAATCAGTTTCACTTAAACACACAGGTATTGTCAGGATCACAAACACCTCTCTCCCCCCACAATAACAGAATAGTGTCTTACAAAGCCTTCTCTTCTATGCAGAGATAGTGAATAGCGCTTCTGATTTTGCACGTAAGGCTCAGAGACTCTGCAGAACAACTGTGACGGAGAGCACAGGCGTAGGGCCTTTTGGAAGTGCAAAGCAGCCCCTGCTCAGAGCAGAGAGTCAGGATGCAGCCCTGGCAGAGCTGTCGGTAGGATTCACTCACCGTACTAACTCTCTGATAAACAAATCTGTGATGGCTGGGAAGAGGAGGTAGCACAATTCATCTGTAAAAAAATTAGGCAGCATGTGAAGCTATTTCTAGATCAGGAAGCTGGAGTGTTCAGGGCTGCATGCACTTTTTCAAGACAGAAGCCTTTTTTTTTTTAATACTTAGTTCCCCCTTTTTTCCACAAAGGGCCATTGGCATTTCTTTCCGCATTTGAGGGGTGCCTATAGAGACTTCTGCATCATAATATATCACAGTGGTAATGTCTGCTCGCAGGCCAAGATCATGGCTCACTAGTGGGTGGTCACTCAGAAAATCCACAGGCTCTTTTTCTATCTCTTAATCTTTCAACTGCTGGACCTGGCTGGCCCCGCGCCAGAGCCAGAAATGCAGGCTGCACGCCACCAGCTCAGGAAATCAAAGCTTCCAGCTTCATGCAGGAGTGGGCCTCTCTCCCCCTTGTCTTGACTCCTGTTCACACGCACACTTATGGCACGTTGCTCCTGTGGCAAACCCAAGCTCTCCTTTCACACCCGCTACGTCAGTAACTTTACTGCTGGACTGGCACATTTTGGAAGAGGGAGTGCGAGGCAATTACGTGTCAAGAGCGTTTCAGACTCATAATTTTCCCAAACATATGGACATATGGGGAAAAGAACAACTTGTTACTTAACGGCTCTTTTGGATTTTGCAAGTGTGTATTTTCAACCGTCAGTTGTAGCACCTCGTGAATTCTGCACGGTACATATTTTTCCACAATATGGTGCTAAAATCATACATTTTACACTGCAGAGAAGCTGACTATATATACTGTAGTTACACATTATACTTTTGAAAATACTGTACCTCTACCAGATATTAAACCAACAATTTTCTCCCAGAACAATGGCACCAGAGATTGATGAGTTGCTCTGTAATACTTTTTGGTCTTGTTCCCCCAGCTAAGTCAGACTGTTCTTCCTCCTTAGTGCCTCACCTGTAGGATGCATCCATATATTATAGTTGTAGCACTTTCTTCTTTTTTTTTTTGAAGCTCTGTACTGATCTAACAGCAGAAGCATCATTTAATAACCTGTTGGGTAAGATTAACAGCTCAGAAAGCGTTCGTTTGATCTGTCCACCTCAACCGAGTGGAGCTGATGCAGTCAAGGGGAGCTGTTAAGGAGAGAATTCAGGTTATGGGGAGACAATTGTGCAGGTCCTTCAAAGGCTATAAATAACCCAGGAACTGTTTCCATCCAGATTTTATTTGGCCCTGGCTCTTGAAATACTGTAAATAAGTTCTGTTCACTGATCTGCGATGCCATTTGAAGGGTTAGTTGAGAGTGATTTATAAAGGCAGTAGCTTATATTCAGAGCTGTTCTTAATTGTGGCCTGGCTTGATAAAGCCACTGTCGCAAACATATTAGTTTCTTTGCAGCTGGATCAAATGTATCAGGGGTTATATTTCAAGGAGGGAAAAGAAAGTATTTTAATTTGTTTTCGCATCACTTTCAGCGGGCCTTCATAACACCAGCGGCTACCCTGTGCCTGCCAAGTCCTGGCTGAGTATCCTACAGCATCTAAAACTCTCAGAGAGAAGTACAAGGCTGTGTACAGCACGTACACGACAGGCAGAGTTTCCTTGGGGAATGCGCCTTATTTATGGAGGGTACCAAGAGACTTCCAGCTTTACATCCAACCCTCCCTCCAGAGGTTTTTCCCTCCTACATTACTAGGGAAGAGGGCAGAAAGAAATGGAACAAGAATCAAACACACTTGCTTTGTAATCGGTTGCATTCCTCTCCCTCTCCCTCCCACCAATGCTTCCTCCTGACTGGATTTAGAGCTGTGCCTGCCCCTGCCCCAGGGAGTACAGCCCTATATCTGAATTACGGACATGTTCCCCCACCACCCCAAAGCTGTCTCCTCTCCCCTGCTTCCCAGCCCGGCTGGTGGGTTGAGATTGGTGTGAATAAAAATACTAGATCCTGCTGGCCAGCTGGGCAGCTGCAAGTGCTCCCCATGCCCCAGGGTTACGCCAGTCTCTCACCAGCATTAGCAGCACAGAAGAAATGTTGGCTGGGATTAAACACTGCTTCTCATGAGGGCCATTACCTACTGGTGGTGGCCCCTGGAAAGCAGCAGTGCACAGATGCACTCTGCAAAGCGCCTTATGGACCTCTTACTCTAACGAGCCCATTTCCCAGGGATATCTAGTAAAGGGACAAGCTCCTAGCAGGACAGACCTTCCTGGTGATATTTAATACCTGGGAAGTGACCTATGTGATTTAATCTGTTGCATACCAAAGGTGTCAAAAAGACATCAAAGAAATCCTTGTGCTTAATCCTTGGCCAGGTCACAGTCTCTCCCTGATGAGAGGAGCCCAAACGGCTTAATAATGCTCCCAAAAGGCAACAGTCGAGGAATTAAGGACACTTGGAAACATCAGAAAATATATTTCTAGGTGGCAAGACTGTATGGTTTCCCTGTGACAAAATCCTTGAGACAAATCTCTGAGCACCCACAGCCATGTTGGGCCAGGTAGGACAGGTCCCTGTGGCTGGGGACATGCATTTCTGACCTCCTCTCAGGCTGGCTTGGCTACAGAACAAGCTCAGGCTGCATGGGGCAAAGAGCTGGCAGGTACCCCACTGCCCTGGCCACCCACGGCTCTGCTGCACTGCTGGCCCCCTCTGCCCACCCACACCTTCTCCCTTCCTATGCACTGCTGCAAATAACTTGCTACGAACAGCTATTCTCTCCTTCCTGGGCCTCAGGGTCTTGAAGCCCTCCCTGTTGCTTTCCTTGTCTTTTCCCTCACCCCTTGCTGTGAGAAGCCTCTTTCCCCGCTGGCCTGATGGCCCTCGGCTGCAGGAACTGGAGTAGTTTGGCACTTGGCACTGGCCTGGCACTGCCCGAGGCTGAGCTTCCCTTGGGGGACCGAGGGTGGGCCCCGCAGGGACAGGTGCCTTCACGCAGCGGCAGGGCACGCTGCTGGCAGGGACTTTGCTGTAACCCCGGTCAGAGCGGGCCAGGAAAGGGCTGCCTTGCTGGAGCCAAGGTAGCACCTGATACAGTAACTTAATATGAGTTATGGAGTCCACGTCCACGGTCACCTCCTCAGCCACTTCTCACAGGCCAGCTCCACTGAAACCCCAAGAGCGACACTTACTGACAGTAGCTGAGGATCCGATCTCCAGGGTTTACATTTAAAGAGTGCACACTGTACAACTAAGAAATGCTCACAAGCACACACACGTACATCTACAGACACACACTTCTCAGGTGGCTGACTGCCTTGTCCTCTGCGAGCCTGCCCAAGCACGGCAGATAAAGCTTTTCGCCTTACTTCAAATGCAGCAGGTGCAATGAGGAGAATCTTGCTACACAAACTGCAAAAAATGACGGCTACAAGATAAATGTTGCCACCACTAAAAAGAAAGAGGAAGACAGAGGCCAGATTACAAATCTGGAACTGCAGCATCCTTAAAAGTGCAGAGCTGCTGGTCTGAACGTGCCTGGAATGCGCCGCTAACTCCACAGCAGTCCCTTGTCAACTCACGATCACAGCAGTGGATTACACAAGATCCCCAGCTCTGCATGAAGTCCGTACTGCATGCTGTGTTCTCACTTAAAGGCTCTACAACAGCACTCTGAAGTAAACTCTGGTGACACCACTGCCCTTATACAGATGGCTACGTACTGTATGGGTGTAACTCGATTCGGTGAATAGCCCTGAGGTGTAGTAAGTGTTGCGTTTCATTTCCAGCAGCCACTTTTCTATTTTTAAAAGGAATTAAAAAATACTCAACTGGTACCTCATGTACTCAAAAGACATCGTACCTCACGTGGCTTTAGTTCGCCTGTTAGAAAGCACCTACGCTGAGCCCAGCTCAGTAAGAACGACTCCAGGTCTCGTGTGGCATTCTTACAGGCAGCTACGCTTGGGAACAACTCTACAAGGATAACGTCCGATGGGATTCCTCCCAGACTTTGCTGGCAAGTCCAGTGCACGGCTATACAGCTGCAGTCATGGGGTTCTTCTGCCTGGGATCCTGTTGCCTGTACTGGTACTGGTCTGGACTGGTCCCACGGTGTCGGACAATTTCATTATAAGCTGGTGCTCGGTGGCACTGAGGAGGGGAAGGTGGCACGTCCTGCCGGAGGGGTCCTTTATGCTGGTTTGTGACGGGCTGGGCTGGGTAGTACTGGGGGTACCTCAATTCTGCCACTCTTGTGTCCGGTGCACGGATGTAGTTCCCCTTAGATGGGTGGACAACAGGCTGTCCTCCTTGGTAGTAGGGAAGATCTCTCTCTTTGTATATTACCCGTGGCCCTGTGAAATATTCCAGTGGCTCTGCAGGTCCACGCCTGAGGAGGAAAAACATAATAAAGCACATAAAAAGGCAGTCTACTAGCTCAGCAACACGTTATTGTACTCACAATCTATGTTTACTTTGGGAAAGGAAATGCCACCTCAAGCATGACAGGTCCAGATGAATCAAAAGAACTTCTGAAGGATAACAAGCCTCCCACCTGCACGCTACAAAAGTCTGTAACACCCAGGACGCTGGAGGAAGGGTCCAGCGCACATCACAGCCCTTTTACAATGGGGGAGCACTGGAGCCCTTCAACTCCCAAAGTCAGCCTCCTGTGATCCATTTGCCATAATGGAAACAAAGCTCCTTTAAACAATGCATGTTTGACTGAATCTTATCTAGCCTGAGGATAAACAGATGAGTTGGGTCAGCAAGTCTGCAAATCCCATAAGCTTTCATGCACAAATATTCACGCTTTCCAAGCCATTTCCCACTATTTTTTCTCCTAACATGTCAGACTGTAAAACTTACCAAACACCGTAGCTGGAAAACCTGGAACTCCTGGAAGAAACACTAGGGATATCAGCCTACAATACCTGTGTTTAACGAGCGAGTTGCCAATGGGGTTTCAAAAAAACTCCTGTGATCTACAAGGCCTGATACTACAACAGCCCTGTAACTTGTCTGCATCGGTATGGATCTGACAAGCTCTAGTTCACGTGAAAAGCAACATGTGAACATGTCATCCCTGAGGATGTGCCATGAAGCCCTCTCTGTAGTTTCCTGCATCTTAATTCCATGATTTGCACTAATGAAGCATTGATATTTTTCCCTAGTACAGCTTAACTTGTGATACTTTTGAAATGGCAAAAATAATTGTTCTCACAGACATGTCACCAGAGCATCCCCAAAAGTTCAACTCAATTAGGAGTTTTTGCCAGTCTGATTGCAAATGTGTTTGCACTTTGGGCAAAACCTCCCATTGACTGCAGAGGAAGCTTCTCTCTGAGTGAGAGCTGAAGGAAGACGGCAGGGTTTTGACCCAAAACAGGGGCTGAAAGTATAAATCAATTACACCTGCTCTGTGGCTTTGGGACTGAACTCATCAACTGTTTAAATATTCTTTGCATAGATTTATTAAAAAAGTCATCATTCTGGTACAGCAGATCAGGTGTTCACAATTCGTCAGTGCCTCTCTTTTGTTCACACAGAGATTTTACAAGCATGCTCCCCCTTTCTTAATCTGGGCTCCCAGACTCCACTGGAACTTGTTTTGCATGAGGTAAAACAAAACATGTGGTTTTCTGCTGCACTCGTTTAAGCCCATGGGGTAAATCATGGACATAGGCAATGAACAAACATTATCTGCCTTGAAATGAACCTACAATTCTCCCCCTGGAATAACTTAGTGCAAATGTTTCCTGTTTAAAATGGAAAGAGCAAAAGGAAGAATTCCAGGCCTTGGACTTTTAGGACCCTATGCTCCCCAGAGACTTTTTGCTTTAAAAACAGAACATTATAAAAGACAGGCACTCCTGGCTTCCCCCCGCCCCGCTCCTCTGGTGAGACAGTCCAGACAAAGTGCTGAAGGGCCTGAAGCCACCCTCTGAGATACTAAAAGGACTCTTAACTGCATGTATTGAGACAACTGCTGTCTCTGCTCACATACCTACGCCTTGCAACAAAGCCTAATTTCCACAGCAGGCCAAAGAGCTGCCCCATGTATTTCTATATCAAGACTTGTTCACTAGTCAGGCCCATCATACTCAGCTTTTAATTCCTCTGTGTGCAAAAACACACTTCCAATTGTAAAAGGCTTCTGTGATGGTAGGAACTGCTTTTTGTCAAGCAGCAAATCAACAGGAACAAACGTCAAACCTACACCCATCACCTTTCATTGTAAAGATAATGCTCAAAATCCTGTATATTAGATTTTAGAAGATGTTCTCACCGGCAGCTAGAATCAACCAAATTCTCATGGGTCACATTAAAAAGGGACTGCGCTTGGAACCTGATCCAGAATTCACTGAAGAGCCAGATAGCTTTTGGACAGAGCACTAACTGCAAAATCAAATTACTCTAAAGTAACAAATTCAAAATTAATTGGTACCAAAATAGGTGTTGAGAACAGGACTGAGCCACCAGCATCATCTACTGAGCCTTCAGCACACAGCTCATCCCTCAAGTCACACGAGAAGTCTGGATGATGCCGCCAAAGAGGTAGATGCGTTTTGCCATCCAGCCAAAAGAGTTGTTTCCAGGAAAGCTTAGCTGATCCAGTTCTAGGAGACCATGTGACACTGCTGCCACAGAAGCCGGGACTGTGCAGAGGGCAGCACATTCAGGCAGCTTTGACTTAGGACTGTGCAGTGAAGATGAGCTGGAGCAATCGAAGCACAAGCATACCTGACCTGAGACATGTACCCAAGCAGCTTGAGCTTATGCCATCAGGTCATCATTGCTGTTACCTATGCTACAAATCTAAATCCACCATTGGTTCACTTACAGCTAATACTGTCTCTGGTTGTGTAGACAAACTGTAGAGAGCAACATGTGGGAATGGCAAAATCTTTCTTTAAAAAATAAAGAAATATCCAAGCTGTTCACTCTTAGCATCAGTTTCCCTTCTCTGAGGGTGAAACACCCGTAGGTGCTATCATTCTTGAGTGTCTTTCCCAGAGTCAGGGCTTAGCAGCTGGGAGGAGAGGTTGTACACAGAGACAAGGCTTGAATCCATTTCACACGGATCCTTCAGGAAAGCTCGGGAAGACAGAAGGTATATGAGTTTTTTTAGCAGCCTTGGCAATAACACAAGCAGTGATCTAACCAATGATTACCAGAAGTCTTACACGAGTAAAACCTTGGGAACCCTGGTAACTGCCCAAAAGGCTGCCCCGGGCAGCATGACTGGGGGAAATTCCATGAAAGATATCCTCATGGCTGCACCACACTCTCCAGCTTGCTTCCCCTGGTGATCCCAGTGGGTGTTATGCTACAGATACACATGCTACAATGACGACGTTTTTCTTCCCTTTTATGACGACACTGCATGTTGAAGCCAGTTATTTCCTGAGGATTCATTCTTCCCCATCTACCAGCCGTGCCCAATGAAGTCTGAGGGAGCTGCTCACAGTGCAAACCACCAGCCTGAGAAATCTCCGTGAACCTCTGACATGAACCTCCATCTGACAAGTCTTAAAATACAGGAAAAAAAACCAGCCCTTCACTTCCCAAGTGTGTCAAATTAACGATCAGAAAGTCAATCTTTTTAAGGTAGAAGAAACATCTGCAGATATCAAGCTCTGGCTGTAGAAATGCTGTCACCATTAGGAGTAAGTCTGGGACACTGGGGGCAGTTCCTGGCAGGAAGAGCAGGGCTCCTCTGAAGCAATGTCGTTTTCATTTGATAGCTCGTGGTGTAAAAGTATATGCTCTTGTTTATCCTTAAAGAAATTGCCATAACAACCCAAACCAAACACTTTCTACTTGGCAGCCCCTTGTAGATGCTATGCTTGTTTCTGCAAGAAGCAAAACAACTCCTGCCTTTTTGCTCGGCAGACATTGCCACCTCTGAGGAGGCCTTAATGAAATTCTTCTCCCCTCCCTCACTGTTTTTGTTGGCTCCTGATGAGTTCAGAGTTCACAGGGCCATATCACACCTCCTAGGTGACCCACAGTTTGGGGGTCAAACCAATAACCTCAAGTGGAAAATCAGTGACCCAGGGGAGTGATCAAAAATCCACAAATTGGGTCAAGCAGGTCCAGCCACTCAAAAGGACCAAGCCAGGAGCGTGCCCTCCGAGAGGACATGCTGAGTAGGAGCTGCTCTAACCGTCAGCTGTTTTCCAGATTTTTGGCCAGTTGTTTGACCTGGGGCTCCAGTGAAATTAATGGCAGGCAGAAGGTAGGGAAGCTGACACAACATCCTGGGAAGGAACTGATCTCAGAGCTCAAAAAGTGTTTTTGCTGATAGTTAGCTCTAGTTAGCTCTGAGGCTCCCAGTGGAAGATGCATCGCTGATGTGGGTCTAGCTAAAAGCAGAGGCTGCTGCTGAAGGAAGCAGTGGAATGAAGGGAGGCAGAAGCACCAGGTTCAAGAAAGGAGGGAAACTGGTGGGACAGTGTGAAAATGCACCTCTCAAAAATGTAATGGACAAGGTGCCCCGTAAAATGTTCATCTTACTGTGAGGAAGTGAAATCTCACCTTCCCCTGCAGAGAAATTATAGAACACACACAGACATAGCTGCAAACATGTTTCATGCAGCTGGTTAGCAGCTCTACCAGTTTATCTTCTAAATGATTCACCAGGTGAGATCTGTGGTCCATTTTGAGCTTTAAGAGCACAAAGTAGCCTTGTCCAAATAAAGTAGGTAACTTGTGACTGATGTTCAATTAACAGTACATGTATTATTTTCTCTATGACGAGTAATTTCTCTACGACAAGTAAAGCCTGAAGTAGTCTGTTTTTCTATCTCTGCTTTATTTATCTTCCAAGCACAAAGGATATAAACGATAATATTTTCTGGCTTTGCTGCAGAATTTTTAAGAGCTTCTGGGTTTATTTAAAACTGAACCAAAGGATTCAGAATACTTAAGAAAGGCTTCTTTTACCCAAAATGCTATTTAGTCATTGAAGTGAAATGGGTATCTGTAGGTCTCAAAAAAATCTAACTAAACCACTTTTTGCCTTCTGCAGTTCCCGTTTTTTTAAAGGCCCCATTTCAGTAATTCTTCAGTTGAGGAGAATCTCACAGGGTAGACTGGCCTAAATATCTATTCCTTCAAAAAACAAACAGAAAAAAAAAAACAACATTTCATTTCAGGTTTACTGTGTTTCATTGTTAACCCCCATTTGCAGGTCACCTTTAACATCAGCCATGAGACACATGCTTGGGTTATCTGAAACGAAAGGAAAGCAAAATGATGGTCTGGCTGTTCATGCTGTGCTCCATCATGTTGGGGGTTTGTATTTCATCATAACAAAGAGTTTTTCTTGCCTCTGTTCTATAGGGAGAACCACAGAGGTCACCCTTTTAGTACCTGGTAAAAAGC